TTCATTTCCATTAGGTGAAAAAAGTCATCAAAACCTTTGATGGAAGACAGAGGAATGAGATGTCAATTCAATGTATGAGGGATCTTTTTCTTTTCTTTTTTTTTTTCTGTTCTCTTTTTTCAGGTACATCTATGAAAGCTGACTTTGACTTATTTTATGTCATTTGTTTTATAAGTTTTGTGTATTATGTTGAAACTTGATTGAAATGGTAGAGGCCCAACAATCATTTTCACAGTGTAATCTTCAGACGCTCATCCTTTGGGTTGTAATGTCATGGTGATAGGAGCAAAGAGATGCTTTTTGCAACTCAGACAACATCTTCTCGCAAAGGTTTCAACTATATTCGACTCTTTCTATCCCCTTCCTTTGTTTTGTTTTGTTTTCTCTCCTATGCATCTATAATTATCCAACATACTATATATTTTACTTACTTATTTGTTATTCTCTGTTCCCTTCACTAGCATTTAAACTTCTTGGAGGATATTTGTCTGTTTTGCTCACTGCTGAGTCTCAAAGCAGAGAATAATGCCTAGCATATAGTAGGTAGTCAATAAATATTTGCTAAATGGATGAATGCTGCTTCATCTCCTCAGAAATGAACCTGCCCCAAGAAGGGGCCCCTGGGTGCATCTTGTATGTATGTGTCTCCTGCTCCCAGGCTGACGTGGAGCTGAGCCATGTTTGTACCCACACTCCAGAAGCAGCCTTTGCTCAGTATTGTGTAGCTGCAGCCTCGGGCAAGTCAATGAGTAGGGAGGCTGTGAGGTACCTGTGTTGTATTTAGGTAAGAAAGCAGTAGCCTAATGCTTCTTGTCTCCACTTTCAGCCAGTATGTGTTTCTGCCAAGCTCTATTACAAGGTTTAATGTTTGGTTAGATATTTATTTCTCAACCTACCTTTGTGAATAAATATTTTCCCAAATGCTTGATTTGTTGGGTAGGAGCCATGATTCTACCATTCATTAGCTTTACGACCTTCCTCAGTTTCCTTATCTGTAAAATGGGAATAATAATAGTACCTACCTCAAGGGGTGCTATCAGTGAATAGATAAAGTGCTTAAAAGAGTGCCTTTATACCCAGTAATGACTATATAGGTGCTAGCAATTAATATTATCTATCATTGTTATCATTCCTGTTTGAATTATCATCTTGCGCTAAACCAGTTTGTTTCTACTACTAGTAGTAAGCATGCTTAGGCACTTTTACTATTATCATAACTGGTATTATAGTGAGCTTATCTGGCATTTCATTAACCAGAATTCCCTCTAGACTGGCATTTATGCATATGTAGCAAAACATGATAAGTCTTGGGTAATGAGATGTCTTGAATTAGCTACTGAATCATCAGAGTTACTATATCTTTGAGGTTGAGTGAATTTTATGACAAAAGAACTCTACTTTTTTTTTTTTTTTTGAAATTTGGTAACCCTGAGGAGCAATATGCAAAAATCCTTCGTGAAGTTTACATCCTTGAATTCTGGGGATTAGCGGTATGAATCCTGCTCTAGACATGAGGAACTGAAATCAGTTTGAGATCAACGATACGGCCCACAGCTGAACTGGAAGAGAGCACAGAGGTGCTGGTTAACTGGGCCCACTCTGGATAATTTCGGCTAATCTAGAGAGGCCATGAGTTTACTTGGCTGCTCCAGGCATCATCTCAACCCAACAATGACTTTCTCCCAAGACCATTTCAAGCCTGACTGTATCCCCAAATCTTTCCAGCACGTGCATTATCTTCACAAAGCATGGAGAACTCGCCACAGTCCTTGTTCTCAATCTGTTTCTCCACTGTTATTACTTGCATTACGCCACAGGACTCTGTTGCCAACACCCTCGGTCCTTGGAAAGGGGTCAGTCTGAAATAAGTAGGTAGAGCTGTTGGGGGACGCAGCTTCCACCAGCTCTCCCCTCCCCCGTGTGCACTCGCTGAGGCCATGGGAGACCTGGATGGGGGGAGGGTTGGCAAAAGCGAGATGACGACAGAGAAAGTAGGTGGTAGGAAACAATAAGGGGAAAATTTGAATCTTCTGAAATCTAAAATCCTAAATGATGTTTGCTTGACATTTGCATATATAATATCACTCACCACGTATGTGAGTTAGACAGTTTGCATACAATTTCATACTTAATGCTCACAACACTGTAAGGAGGTTCTTATTCTCGACACATTCCCAAGATCTGGAGTCTCAGAGAAGTTGCCTAAGATCATAGAGGTAACATTTAGAGCTTAGGGATTTGAACAACGGTCGGTACTAAATCCAAATCCTGTGTTCTATGGCATGTAGCATTAGTTAAACAGGCAGGCAGAAAACCGGGGAGAAACTATCCAAAAATGTAACTATGCACAAGAGGCTGGAATCACTGGAATAAGCCACACAGCACACAGAGAATAATAGCTCTATCGAGAATGGAATTTTCACAGGAGCAAAAATTTTCAATCCTTTATCTTCCCTGCAGGATTAGGGTTTCATTGCAACATTAGTTGCACATCATGTTAAAATCACTAGAGTAATGGTGACATGGGCTGAAAATGATCCAAAGACTTTGAACAAGGGCAGAATGGGGACGAGTTAGAAAGTGTGCGTGTGTGTGTGTGTGTGTGTGTGAGAGAGAGAGAGAGAGAGAGAGAGAGCGGGAGACAAGCGTGTGTTAGAAACCAGTGGAGGAGGGAGAGGGCTGTGCGGTAACACTCTTAGCTAAGACCGTTTCCATGGCTAAAAGATGAACAGATATTTGTAGCTGGGAGATAACTCTCTACCCACTCCTATACCCCAGCCAGGGTGGATCTGAATAAGACTTTTTGTCCAGCTCTGGTTCATTTTCCACAAAGCATCTACAGTCATTTTTCTTAAACATTAATTCAATTATGTAACTTCCCTGCTCAAAATCCTTCAGTGGATTCATGTTGCACTCAGAATAAAAGCCAAGCTCCTACTCCAACCTACCAGCCCCTACGTAACTCACCCTACCCACCTCCCCAGCCTCATGCTCGGCACCCCGGCACCCTGACTTTTCTGCTCACATGTGCCAAGCTCTTTCCTGCCACAGGCCCTTTGTATACGCTATCCCCTTTGCAGAGAATATTCTTCCCAACACCCTTCAAATATGTATATGTGATCTCATCAGAAAGGCCCTCCCTGGCCACCATATCTTAAGTGTGTTTCTCTTGTTGTCTATCATTTCACAGTTTTATTCTCTTCATAGCATTAATTGCAATTGCAATTATACGAATTATTTATTCATTTGTTTTGGTATCTTCCTCACTAGATGATAAGCTTCATGAGGGCAGGGACTATGCCTGTTTGCTCTATCTAGTGCCAAAGGATGTATTCATTTATTTAATAAATTCCCATTGATAATAATGTCTCCTTAGAGTGTTTAGGGTGGCAAGGGCCCTACCTCAGAATGGATCCAATCCAAGATAAAGAAAATGTATTTGCAATAGTTCGATGAAGTCTCTGGACAGTCAGAAGTGACTACAGGGGTGAGTGGGCTCTGTTGCAATAAAAAGCAGTAAGAATAGGAAATGTGTTTTACAAAGTGGTGGATATCTAGGTGTGGTTTTGACGGATGAATGAGGGGGAATTTGTGTGCTCTGCTTGCCACTAAAGGCAGGCTGAAATTGGGATAAGTGGTCTTTGACAATTGAGGTGTTGTCTTTGGACATTGAAAATTATTGTTTGCTCTTAGGAGGTGAGTGTGTGTGTGTGTGTGCGCGCATGTGCGTGTGTAGGGTGCCTGGGAGTTTCTGTGTGTATATGTCTGTGTGTACGTGCACACACGGACACATTTTTTATTAGAAGAGCAGCCCACTGGGAAACCAGGAAGCACGAGCAGCACAATTGATCTCTCGCTGATCGAGACAGGCTGAAGAGAGCTGGTCCTGGGAGGCCCAGAGCTTCCCGTGGGCACCTCTGCCACAGTCTGCGCCCGCAGCCCGCCCACACTCACCCCTCCACACACGGCCTGGGCTTCTTCTCTCCTGAATAGCTCAGGCTCCCTGAAGGCCACTGGGGACAGATCCCAGGGGCAGTGGGAGGAGAGTGGCCCTAGCATTGGTCTGAAGTGGGAGCCTCTCTCAGAGGGGGAAGGAAGACTTTAACGCCAGGCAGCAAGTATGGAAACTGGCACTTCTCCTTGAGAATATTTGCTTGCCTGGTTGTGCTGTTGTTTTGGGACTGTGGGAATAGTCTCACTCAGTGCATAATGTGAAATATTGTCTCTCATCCTGTACATCAGTTATCCTCAGTCCTCTAACCTGGTCTGTTACGGGCATGAGATCTTGTGAAAGTGGAGTTGTGGGGAATTAAGGGATAGGACAAGAAAGTAGTGTGACCATCTTCACATCCCTGTTCTCCCAGGCCATTATGGTAGCAGCAGCTTTCCGACGGGGAGGAGGGTGGCCTGGGTTCAGGCCGGAGCAGGAGAGCAGGTCCTGGGGAGGGTTCTGGGCCGGAGTGGGGGTGAGGTGCTCAGCTTGGAGAAACCGTAGTTACATGGGTGGTGGCCGAGAGGTAAGACCCCCTGTTCTCCACAAATACACGTGAGCAACATACACGACCCTTCCTCTGCCACAGTGGGTCCCGCTGGTGGTAAATATCACCCGAGTCTTCGTTGAAAATACCCACTGCCTGCTCCACTCTTGAAGGTTTGGGGTGCAGCCTGGGAACCTCAATATTTTCTAGGCACTCAGGTGATTCATCTCATCAAGGAAACATGGGACTGATGGCCCCAGAGAGGGGTGACTCTTGCAGGGCCGGGGAGAGACTGAAATCTGGGTCACACCTTACTGACCCTACTTCAGAGAGGACATGCAAAAAAGGAGTGATATATTTATATCTCTACATATGTAAACATGTATCTCTTTATTCTACACATACATGTGTATGTGTGTATGTGTGTTATGTGTGTGAATATGCTTAAAATTACTAGGGAAACTTCTTCTCTGGGAGAGAAGATTGTGGATCGCCCCACTGAAAAAAAAATCAGAGCAGAAGCAGGCTTTCAATGGGCTCCACCGCTTTATTTATAAACCCATCTCCCAACCTTTCTGAACTTCTCAAACAACACAAATTCGTCTCAAGTTGTACAATCTGTTACCTTGGCAAGCTTGTAACGACAAACCCTATTTTACATCTCTGAATGTTGCTTCTAATTACTCTACTTAAAGTGCAGAGTAAGAACCACAGCGGCAGGGGAGGGGCGGGAGTGTGCTTGGGGGTTTGATTTGATTTGATTTTTAAAGTAGTTTTGCTGTCAGAAGTCTTTCTAGCTCTTCCAGAAGGAAAGGATATAAAGCTACCCCTAAGGACAGATCACAAGCAGACTGTCCTGTTGTGTGGCAAATTTGTTCTTTTATTTTTTTGAAACCACTTCACCCATGTCCCCTTTATTCTCTCATTAACCAGAATACCACAAGATTAATCAAAGAGCAAAAGTGATAATATAGATGTCTCTGGAATCCTGTGTAGCTTTCACACAACTTTTAATTGGGAGTATGTGCATACACACACACACACACACGTACCATATACTCAGAGAATGCTAATAGTGCTCTAAAATAGCAGTTTCTCTAGTCCAGTTTCTATACTACATAATAACACCCAACCCACTGCCATGCTTTAAATGGTAGCAGAGACAAATTTTTCACTAATTATACATTTTAGGGCAGCAACTCTGTGCTGGTCTTATGGTGTTTTGGGACATTTTTGATATATAAATAGTTAAATGTGGTCTGATTTAAGTGAGGCTTATGTATTAAAAGAAGAAGCCTTCATTCCCCAGACCTCAACCCTCTTAGCATTTTAGAACCACAAAGGTAGACCCTATACAAATGGTGGATTCTTTTTTCCCATTCTAGTCCCCCGAGAGTGCTGACTGCACAGTCCAACCAAGGCATGTGTTGAGCCTCCACTACTTAAGATTATTGAATGTTTCGAACAAGGAATAAATTTGGTTGTCATGGGAAGATTGTGGCATGTTGATGCAGTGGCCTCCCGCAGGTTGAGTGTTTATGCTGTGGGCCATTTATTTTTAAAATTAAATTAAAATTCTTACTCTTAAGACGCTGTAGTTTGTTTGCTTTGTTTTTGTTTTTCGGGGCAGCTTGATTTCCAACCACATTCCATGTCTGTGCTCACGTGTACGCCTCATTTCATGGATAATCCTGCACCTCCCGGCCAAGTTCAGACGTACTTGGCCGACCACAGCGTGGCATCTCCCAGGATCACTGAAGCTCCCAGCTATTACAATTTTTAATATGAACCCACATCCTGGAATCCTAATGCACAAGATTACATTAACACACAACAACTAATTATCAGAGACATGTAACATTCACGCAGTGTATTATAACGTGTATTTGCAATTTTGTCTCTTAAGTTTTGCAAGCTAATGTGAGTGGACAAACGTCAGGTATCTTGGAGGCTTAATATAATTCTGCACTAAAAAGACTAGGAAACTGAATACAGGAATGTACACTAGGAATTATTACTGTATAAAATACAACTAAATGAATATTATCCATATGCTTAATTCCTGCTGATGGAAATTATGCATATAAAATAAAAACTTCTTGGTGTCTCTTCTGGTGCTTGTCTTAGTAATAGTAATGGCAATTATCATAAAGAATTATCACAAAGCAATTATCACAAAGAATTCCACAATCTTGGGGAATTATGACTACAACATAAATAGAAAAAAAAAAATAACTCCAGGAAGCAGAAATACATTACAAACTGCATCATAACACATACTCATCTTGCTATTAAAAGTTAAACTCTTGTAAAACATTTCCAAATGACTTACATTAATTAATAAATGTGATTTTCATTTGTTAAAGTAAAATGAAAGAAAATATTTAGCATAGTTTTTTTTAACCCTCAGTTTTAGAGATGTTATACATTAAATCTAAATGGACTCTCTTTTTTCCTTTTTTAATTTGGTGTCTCCACTTTATCTTTTAAAAATGGGGAAGGTCTTCTAAATAATTTAGGCTCAATTTTGACACGCAGGCTGTTGGCTTCATGGTTTCAGAAGAGAAATGAAGTGCAAGAGTCCATACCCAGCGTCCACCCAGAGGCTGCCTCAGGTGAGCCCAAGGCGTCCAACAAAGTGGAATGAACTGATCCACCCGAAGAAGCAGCCCTCTCCGGATTTATCAAGCAGTTTGTGTGCAATTCTGCCCCTCGAAGTTTGCACGCATTTCTGTTAGCATCAGCTTCTCCACTCCCAAACGAAAAGCATCATGAAACGAAAAGCAATCAGAGAGGAAGGGGAAGCAGGTCTACACTAGAAGGGTCATCTCCTTCAGGAGGCGATGCTTCATGTGACACTTCTGTAAGGGAAAGCCTGAGCTGCTGCCACATTCAAGGAATCTGCCATTTCCTTCATGATGAGAGGTTTGAAAAAGTGGACCTTTGAGAGGAAATACTGCAGACTTCCAAATTGGTGAAAGAACTTCCAGCGTCGCTTGGATACTCCGGGTAGGAGGAACTGGAGGAGATGATATTTTTGAGCCGCTGGAGGGCAATGATTAAAAGCAGAAGCAGAAATGCTAAAAGGCTGAGGAATATGGACACGTAGATGTAGACATTTGACAGGTGGCCTGAGGATGGGTCCACCGACGTGGACAGGGATGTGGGGAACAGCTCAAGAAAAGTACCATTCTCCACACTTCCAGAAAATCCAGATGAAGGGTCAGATTCGGACATGTTTACAGAGGGTGAAGGAGTGAACAAGTTAAGTTAAAAGTCAAAGTTCACATGCAGGTTAAAAAGGGCAGAATTGGAATTTTTACTCATGATACTGTTAGCAACAATTGCAAGCTGTTAAATCAGCACAACTTCTTGGTTTTCAAACAAGGCAGCAGGGGATCAGGTATCCACTGAGACTGCAAAAAAAAAAAAAAAGCAATTCAGTGCATTCTTCAGAAAATATCACATTTAAATCTCATTTTTAGTTTTCATTTTAGTATAGCTTAATTAGAAAACCCACCAGGGAGGAAAAAGAATGAAATAACTCTGCCAGGAGTAAATAATGTTTATGTCTTTTTATTACAAATGATGATATAGAAATGAGAATTATCTTTTCTCTCCATAGTACCCTAGGTGCCGGGTTTCTCTAAGGAACTCGAGATAAAATAAAAAGGAAAATACATTTCTGATGTGCCCCCATATGCTGTAATTTTAACAGATGCTCCAAGTGGATGCTTTGAGACTAGAACTCAGAAAGTTAGCTCTAAACCTCCCTCCTCCAGAAAAACTAATCCCATGCATTCTCCAGCTTGCCAGCTTAATTCCCGACCTCCCTCTAGCACACTTTGGGAAATCATTGCACATGTGAGTTTGCTTTTGGTTGAGTATAATATGCTGATTTGTTTATAAACATTTTATCTTTTTGATATGTAATTCTTTTTTTCCTTTTTTTTCTTTTTGAGACACAGTCTCACTCTGTCACCTAGGCCATGACATCAGCCTAGCTCACAGCAACCTCAAACTCCGGGGCTCAAGTGATCCTCTTGCCTCAGCCTCCCAAGTAGCTGGGACTACAGGCATGTGCCATGATGCCTAGCTGATTTGTACTATTTGTAGTAGAGACGGGGTCTCACTCTTGCTCCGGATGGTCTCAAATTCCTGAGCTCAAGCGATCCTCCCGCCTTGGACTCCCAGAGTCTAGGATTATAAGAGTGAGCCATTGTGCCTAGTCCTGTTTCTGTGTAATTCTTTTCCTTCAGTGTACCTAGGTGCTTCATTTTACATACTTTAGGCCTTGAGTAAGACCTTTAGATCAACATAGAAGAACAAAGGTTAGAGTCCCTCTGAATGGGAGAGTCCCTCTGAATGTACTAGGTTTGCCCTCAAGAGACTTAGGTTTGAGGACTGAATTCTCCATTATCTTTGGGGAGTTGTGCAAATTGCCTTTATTTTCTGAGCATCACTTTCCTCATCTGTAAAATGGTCCAGCACCTGCCCCATCTCACTGTGTCATGCATGGACCAAGATAATAGATGGGGAAGCCCTGTGTGAATCGTAAAGGGTGGGAGCAAAATGAGTCGTGTGTATGTGCCTGTGTATTTGTGAGTGGATGGGCGTGGGGTGTCTGTGTTTTCAGGGGTGCAGAGGGGGAATCATCTGCAGGCAAACACTCTTCCTTGTGTGTCTGTGGTGGGGGAAACAGCTGGAGGGAGCAGGACCCCTCTAGGTAGGTAACTTTCTTTAAGTCCAGAAAGAATACTCTCCCTAATTCTTCATGGCAGTAGATAATTTTGTTGTAGATTTCTAAATCTTGCTCCTGGTGTGGTGAAGGCTCATGGGAAAACATCCACTCTCCCCCTAGCTCTCCCTTCGTAAACTCTGCCCTACATTTTACCTGGACAGCTTGCCTTTTCCGCCTATTCTCCACACCTAATTAAGCGGCTGATTCTTAGAGGGTCTGACATTTGCTGGGGTTGCTGGAGCTGAGCAGCGCTGGGAAGGAGGGGACACTTCAGAGAGGGCTGTCCCTGTCGGGTGCCACGCAGACTAATGAGTCTTAGTGAGCTCTTGAGTGGGCTAGGGACAATGTCTTAGTAGTTCCTAAAATAATTTGACTCCTACTCCTCATTACGCTTTGCCTGGTGATTTTAATTCCATTAGGCTGCTACGGGCTCCTAACAGTCCTTAAAAAAAAAAAAAGAAAGAAAGAAAGAAAGAAAGAAAAGAATCGCAGTGGGACTGCAAATGTGTTACACTGGTTTGGCAATACCTAGCCTTTTTACAACATGTAAATGTTCCAGCCGTTCATCTTTAGGGAGAATAGGAAGAGTCTCAGAGGCAGCATGGTGCACAGAAAAGAAAACTGGGATAGAATCCTCACCGATGGAATCGAAAAAATATTCAGAATGTTCTGGTACAACCTTCTAAGTGGAGTAGAGGAAACAGAGACACACAGAAGCTAATTGATTTGACAAGAGTAACATATCTAATTAGAAGATAAGCCAGGGCTTTCGGTTTCTGCCTGCCCTCACCCCTACCATCTGGTCTCAATTTTCCTATCAGTGTGGTAATAAAAATTTCACATCATTTCTTTTTGAGCATGGGCAAACATGGGTAGGTTGGGTTAGGACTATGCATCTTGTGTGTTTCCACAACTGCACTGTATGTAGGGCAGGTAGAGCAGGAATAATTCCCATTTTGCAGATGAGATTTACTCGGGGTACACAGCTAGACAGTGACAGAGAAGTGACTAGAACTCACTCTTGAACTGTGTTCTCGGTTTTCCCAACTGTGGGAGGAAGAGAAAAGCTATGAGACTTGGGTAATTAGTTGCTACCTGCCACTTTGGGCAAGCTCACAGTTTAGTCTTGATAGTTCAGTTTTCCTCCTTCCAGAACAATAATACTCACCTTTCCCACCTCTACAGGAGGTGGTAATGTTTTCATAATCGTACTTAGAAAATAATAAAAGGCCATACCAAGTAAAGTACCAGTAGGCATGTATTTCCTTCTGAATACCTAGAAAGACTAGAAAAACTTTCAAGGTCTCTGCTAGTCCTACAGTTCTGACACACGCAGGTCATAGATCCAGTTGGAATTGGCTGATTTTTCTAAAGCTGCCTTTTCTGCTACCCAAAGCTGTATCATTTTCTAGCGGTGGGGCCAGAGGCACAGATAACATCACTGGTATCAGCAGTTCAGCGGGAAAACTCACAACTGGCCTCCGGGCCGCTTGTTAATAATATCTTTTTAAAGGTTCAATATTCCAAGAGTCCTTTTTCACTTCCTGAGGATCACCTTTCAGACCAAAAGCCCACTGTGACCCTCAGCTGTCTGTGGAGTAGTTTACAGGAAATGAGGCTCAGAAGATTTGAGTAAAGAATTTGATCTTTTAAGTGGCCTTGGAAGAATGGTAGAAAATAAACAAATGAAACCTTGTGTCCTTATTTGACATTTCCCAATTAAAAAGCTTCTTCTTTAAATATACCCTCTCCAAAGATTACAGATTTAAAATAATTTTCAGAATACTTCTTAATTTAAAATGACAGCCACACACATTTCATTTCTCCATTCTATCTACTTCTGAAACAACAGAGTATATAAACTAGTAGAGATCCTTTTAATTTGGCAACATTAATTCTCATTTCCTTGTTGAAGTTTAAAAAATTGGTATATCTTCTTTCTCTCTGATGCATGTTTTCTTTGACAGTAAGTGTTCAACGCTCACGATGACCCAAACTCTATGTGTTTGGGCATCGCGACAGTGTGGAATGAGGCTCGAGGTGGCACTGTGGAAATAAAATCAAATGAGTGTGTTTCAAGATGATGCTTCTTGGGCTGTTGCTCCCCAACAGATAAGCTTTAAAGAAAAGAAGAGACTTCATCTGAAATGCATAGCCTTGACCTGTCTTGGGGTAGCACCAGCAGACTCTCATCTCGAGTGACAACTAAAGCCACCTGGGGATTTGGATGCTTTTTTTTTTTCTGAGCCATCCTCAGAAAGTGATTTTGGAGAAAGGAAAATGAGACGCCTGGATCACAACATTACAAACGAAGAGCCGTGGAAATGTTTTAGCTCATGGCCAGCCAGCGTTTCCTTTGTTTCTTGGAGTAGAAGCCTGTGCTGGAAAGATATCTACAAAAAAGCAGTCACCTACTGCAGTGAGGTGGGAGGGACATGTCATCTTTCCTCATGAGCCCAGCGGGGTGGGGAGACTGTGACGCACAGACAGGGCAGACCTGGGGGACTCTGGTTCCAAGTCACTCAGTCCCATGTCCCTGGGATGGGACTCCTTTTAAAGAATGGAAGCTTCCCTTCCCGTGGGGTGATTATGAGGATTGTGATACTTGGAAGACCAAAAGCATGCTCTCTAGCATGTACCTTCATCCCTAGTTAAAGGAAGAAAAGTTTAACCGTCCCTCAAGGATGAGTCCTCGCAGAAGCATTGCAAGACCCACGGCAGCCAGCATGTGGGCAGAGCCTACGCCACGGCCCGGACTTCTATATTATTATACAATGGTTTCTAGAACTCAGCCTACCAGTCAGCCTCAAATGTGGCATAGCAATTTCGGATTTTGTGACCTTTATTCAAATACATCTCTGTGTGAATAACAACTATTTGAAAGGTTTTTTGTTGTGGAAAACTGGGACAAGCTGCTCTGTTCCCTTGCAGACTTTTTTATTTAAAGAGGGGCCTGTTAGGGTGATGCATCAACATTCCATCATTACCAAATTCTGCTGTGTCATACTCCAAAAGGTGGTCCTCCCCACACCATGAGAAATGAGGCCACAAGGTATTAACAGGACATAATAAAATGCTTTTCCCAGTACATGAATGCAAAATTTAATAGTCTAATGTAATTAATAGGGTTAGATGATGTATTGGATCTCTTTCTCTATAGAACAAATAGAAACTATTTCCAGAATCCAGAAGGGACCTTATCGCATCTGAGCAAAGCTGTTTTTAGTTCTATTTAGAAAATAGCCTGTTTTATATAAGACCTTGCAACCGTTCCTTTACCCTTTGCATGATTATCTCCTCTCAATGCTTTCTCTTTGACATGTGGCCTTGTAGGTCACTCTAGCTGAGAGAAGATCAGAGCTGACAATACACACTTCCTACCACCCTTCTCTGAATGTAAATCCTCACTTGCATTCTCACTTGCAATCCTCACTTGCGTGGCAAACTCTTACCCCTGGGCTTGCAATGTGAAAATAAAGGTTAATGTCTTATGTACCATCCTTACTCAAAGCTGACTCAGACATCCATATATTTTCCTATTTGAGAACTGTCCTTATATCAGTACAATGCTTAGGAAGAGTAGAATTTTGTGTGAGGTCTCATTATGATTCCTTCCATCAGCTCAATAAAAACCAAAACCAAGTTAAGAGCATAAGCTCTATCTACCTGTTATCA